TCAAAATTCAAATTTATGTCTTTTAGGGCATCTTTCAAAGTAAATAATTTTCCTCGAACAAGGTGATAGCCTGATATTATTGCTGTGGTCGGTTTTAATTTGGATATAAGGCAAACATATCCAAACATACATTCACTTCGCTTCGGTCCTTTCAATCCTGACATTTTTTACCACTGGTAGATGAAGTTAAACTTCAAACTGGTTTCAGTTGTTATCATGATAATGTAGATGGAAATATTATCGGGTACAAAATGACTACATTTTCCAAATAATTCCAACACGAAACTGTAAGTCAACTTTGTTGGTCAACGTAAGGACTATGCTACCAATAATACTACAAATTCCTCTTGCGGGTGGCGCAGCAGAGATAGCGTGATAGCTACTTGATGGAATTTTCGACGATCTCGTTCTGAGTTTCATCTGGAAATCTCAACATTTTAAAAGTATGTTTTTGCTTAAAACTGTTATCAAAAGTAAATCAAAAGATATTTATCAGTAAACATGGATGTCAACAATTGAAACATCTTCCAAAGCAACCACTTATAGCATTTTGAAATAAAACATCTCTCAATTCTGAACCATACCGAAATTTCCTTCATTACAATAACTTGTTAAAATGTCGAATTTCCAATCATTTTCTTCTAATCGAGACAGGTAGATAGTGACGAATCCCAGAAAATGATAGAAAGTGTTCTATGTGGAACCCAAATGATATTGGTGAAGTTAGGTATATGTCCAAAATTAGAATTAGAATTAGAAAGAGAAAAATAATTTCACAAGAATTATTATATTAGACCAAATATGTAGAATATTAACATCCTTTTTAACACCAAGGAACTTTAGGAAAACTGTCAAATTTTTTGTAAGAATAATCTCGATTTACATTGCACTCATCATGCCGTTTGTATATAACTTTTATGTTGTATGTTGTATAAATGTAAATATTGTTTATATAACACTTATGCTGCAGTTTGCAGCCTGATTTAATAAAGCTCTCGTGAAGCGATTGGCCCAAATCAATTCAAACACCAACTGGAACCAACTCGATTAAAGCGTCCCGTAAAATCTCCCAAGCATGGTGGTTAATTGCCAGTCGTGAATAAACAGGTTTCTCGACCTCGGATTGCACACTTTTGTCATTTGCTCTGAAGAGACTACGAAGGATGCATTTTATATTCTGCAAGTTGTAAAGTTTATCATTTATTAGTTTGATCACTCGATTGATCTTATGTCGGACAAAATATAGAAAATCATCCTATGTTGATGCATACCGGCACGTGAAAACATCGGGAAAGCACAAACACCACCACCCGCATCGGCTGTTTGCAAATTAAGTGAAAAATGCATCGCTCTTGAAAAAGTCATTTATTTCATCGGAATGTCATGTCTAATCGTAGATATATTAAACTATTCATCTTTGGGACAGTAAGTTCTGGAACATTTTGAAACTAGTATCACCCAAACCGCCACTGCATCTTGCATGAATCAAGACTTACTTCGTCAAGAGTAATCCTGCTACAACTGTAAGGTCATTTGCATATTTTCCGTCCTCAGACTATAATAGGAAGTGACGTATTGTGCTACTTCACCCTGCAAACGACAGCAATTGTATGGCACGTTTTAAGGAGGCAAAAATTATTTTGATTTTGTTACGTTATTGTTCCCTTGTATCCAAATGAATAGAAGTTTCAGATGTTTTGGATAAAACATTATGATATAACTAATCTGAATGGAATTCCTAAATAATTTTTAATATCAATACTATTTAGATTCGTTACTTGTCCGTACCAATCTTTTGCCAGTGTCATTTGCTTGTACCGCGTACTATAGTAAGAAAATAGCAATACCGCGATAGTAGTGAGTTTCTTCACTTTCCGGGTCAAACGAGGCAGTCGGGATTGCCGTGACCCCCAACCCCCCTTTTGCCCTGAAAGTTTATTACATGGCCATTAAAACTGAAGTGTGCACCCATCCTTTCCCCAATAGTGTGCACTCCACCCCCCAACCCCCTTTCTCAAAAAGCTGTATCCGCCCCTGACGAGGTGCGACAATGTGCCACATAATTTGCGACAGAAATGAAGATTAAACACCAGTCAATGAAAACATAGATAAAATGCCAAATGTCAGCAGGCGTTCATAATCCCGATAGCGACATTTACTACCGCGATAATAGAGAGTCACATGATAACAACACGAGCTAAATCTGTATAAGCCCGACCGATCGAGAGAAGCATGTCTCGGCTACCCGGACTGTAGAGTCTTGGCTTCGGCATTATAGCTACGAACCTGTTCACCTCACTAACTTTCACGTAATTTTTGTACTCGTAAAAGTAGCTGTTTTTGCTTGTTACAGCGTGTAAAGATACTCGAAGGTATATTCGGAAATTGAATCCGAAATGAAGTCACTGTCGGCCTTAATTGACATCTCGTGCTAATCAAAATAAATGTTAAATTAAAATGCAGCACCGTTTCTTCGACATTTGACGACAGATCATGATGTAAATATCTTCACTGGTAACAACATGCATTATCCATTCTTCAAGACGATTATAGCGAACAGACTTTTTAATTTTTTCTATTTCATTTCAATTCACAAATGTATTACATATGACATAAATGGCAATATATATGATGTCATTGAGGTTTTGTAGGGTTATAACAGAAAAAATAGATACATAAAATACTGTTAAAGTTTCTGTAGATTGTAGATAACTTTGAAGAAATTAACTTTTAGTTGAAATTACTGAATTATTTAATGGTCCTGCTACTGGCCAAGACGACATCGTTTTTGTTGGTTATTTCTGGTAATTTGTTGGAATTTCTGTAACACTATGACAGATGCTGCTTTTACAGCAGCACTCAACAAATCTGTGACACTTCCACTTCCCTAAACTGATTACAAACATACCACTGGAACTAACATCTGTGATCTAATGCAAAAGAAGTGGGGCTAAAGTAAGCATGAATATATTGCATTGGATTTATTACATTGCTGGTCGTTTAATGCGCGGATATTGACCTGGAACACCTCTGTACATTTGTAGCTCAGCAACGTTGTCACTCGGTATTTACATTGCCAATAAAAGTGTCGGTGCACTCTCCCTGACACTGATAATTTACGGGGCATTTCCTGCAGTAAGAATGACCACTTGTTTTGGGCAGATAAGGCCGATTTCGTTTGAGTACACCAGGTGCATGATACGGTATGTATATTACGTTTAAATTAGTTGAACAACCTCTTGTCTGTATGGGTGGTTAAATTCTATAGGTGATTCAGTGGGTATGGTTTTACACTGAGTAATATCATGGCGGGTGACACCCGAAAATTGGCTGCACACGTTATGCTTATGTGGGGATTCGAACCTTTGTCTTCAGCGTGACGAGCGAACGCTTGTTTAAATTCGTTGAACAACCTCTTGTCTGTATTCATGAAATGGGTGGTTAAATTCTATAGGTGATTCAGTGGGTATGGTTTTACATTGAGTAATATCATGGCGGGTGACACCCGAAAATTGGCTGCACATTTTATGCTTATGTGGGGATTCGAACCTTTGTCTTCAGCGTGACGAGTGAACCCTTAAACACTAGGCTATGCCAGCGCGCCTCTCAGGAGAGGATACATCAACTGTTGATAGCATGGATAAACCTTAGGTCGGTCTGGTCGTTCTTCACAGAGAGAGATCTCAGACACAACCTTATGCACTCACATGCCACTCGCGCCTTATTTAGTTTGTTTGTTGGTTAACGCCGTACTCAGTATTCCAGCTGTATGACGGCGGTCTGTAAATAATCAAGTCTGGAACACACAATCCAGTGACTGACATCATAAGCTGGGAAGTCTATATAACCGTAACATTTTAAAAATATAGATATGAATCCTTCAAATATCCGAATGAATTAATTCCCCAATGCAATGGAGTCTGATATATTATCGGAAACTAGTTTCATGATACAGCTTGGTGTGTGTGTGTGTGTGTGTGTGTGTGTGTGTGTGTGTGTGTGTGTGTGTGTGTGTGTGTGTGAATACACCTGTATGTCATTAAGAAATAACTGAAACCTAAAACGTCTCTAACGTTATTTATCGTTAACCTTCGTGTTTTCAACCCGCACGAACCACTAGCATCGAGTCTAAAATATATATTACTGATAAATATCATAAACGATAAATAATCACGCCCGTTTCCAAAAAGCGATCTTAGTGCTAGGTTGATCGTAACTACCGTAGTTTAACATAGGCTGCCGATCACAGCGCTATGATAGCTTTGTGAAATAGCGCCTAGATCAATACTTGAAGCGGCGGGTGATCATTGAAGTGACTGAATGTGGTTTTACGCCGTTCTAGCAATATCACAGGCACAAGGAACTGACTTTACGCACTGTGCCAATGTGCAGGAGGAGTCTAACCGTGATTGCAGAGCGCTTTAACATCTACCCTGCCCCCAGGTCCAAGGCTCATTAACATTTGGAGCAAGTTTTGTCTTGTTTCCATTACAGTTTTAGTATTTCAGCTGGCGTAGAGATCACAGTTAGGTAATCAAAGACGATCAAATTAGTCAGAATCGCCGCCTTAGAGGAGGATTATTGTGCTAGGCAACGCTGCCAGTATTCTGTACGTTCGAAGATGTCCCTGAAATCCTTAAATTCTATTCCATCTGCGTATATATAATCAAATAAGCAATTTGTTTGCAAGTGGCAGGAATGTGTACACGCTTAACAGGAGATTGTAAGGCAGGAGGGGTTTCTGTCAAAATCTTTGTTTCTGTTTCACTTTTACAATAAAAAACAATTCGATATTTATTTCTGAGTCGACAAGCATCTACATGGATAGTTGTGTGACAACGTCACCAGTGGGGCACAGTACGCTCACCTGCTCTCACATCTGGTTGAGAGTGATTCATAAACACACGCTTATTGTAAAATTAGCATAGTACTGTTGACTAGAGAGAGCTTTGTTCGTTATACTTAGATGTGTAGTTTATATAAGTCATCAAATAGATTCGTTATGACGTTGGACAACACTGCCGTTTAATTGTGGTTTTGAAGTTATCCCTGAAATCCTTTGTTCCCACTGCGTAGATTAGTGGATTAAGAAACGAATTAGAAAAACCCAACATTAATAGGTATGTTCCAATAATTTCCTTCAAGAAACAAGAAACCTTGTCACCCGACACTAACTGTACAACAGTTGCTATCAAGAAAGGACACCACGTGATCAACAGACATCCAATCACAAATAGGAGAGTTTTAACTGACTTCCAGTTCCGGGCGGAAATGCCAAAGAGGCCACCTGACTTCCGGGTCACACCAAGTTGCTCCAAAGCATCGATTCGCTTGATGTGGCCCCTTGCACTGCAGTATAAACCAACGTAGATGACAAACACTATCAAAATAGGCACCACCCCTATAATGAATATCAGCACAACATACCCAGGCGACACAACGAATAAAAACGAACAGTATTGGTTATAATTCGCCGTATTCCATCCGATCAGGGGTGCGAATCCTATCAGAACTGATTGAATGGTTATCCACAGTATCGCAAACACAACCTTCCTAGTCGTCATTATCTGGGTGTATCGCAAAGCACGTGTAATTGCAATGTACCGGTCAATTGCAATCCACATGACGCACATCGTAGATACTTGAATCCCACTGATGGTGAATCCTATTCTCGCAAGACACTCGTTTAGAGTAGACTCATTTGCCTTCGTGATCACTGTACCTATAGATACAAATCCAATACACATGTCCGCTATTCCGAGTAACGTCACAAAAGAGTTGGTCGATGGAACTTCCTCTGTAATGCTATGAACAGTAACACAGCCCCGTTGCTCAATATGATACATATTGACAACGGTATCAACACAATCCTCTTAACGCGTTCATGAACATTGTCCCAGTCTGGTTCGCATGTTTCAGGAAGAGGTGTTGGTACAAGGGAAGTCATTGAGTCAGAAGTTTTTGTCAGGTTATGAAGCAACAGCATGTTCTTGGTGTCAATTTCTTCATTGAAACCATTCAGTTAATTTTACTTAAAATTGTAGCATAATCGTGATCGAAACTTCTAGCAATACCTACTTCTCCTTGCTTTGACCGAAGGTCATTCCATCCAGTGTGCTTTTTTTCAATCGAATCCACGAAGATAAGAATAATGACACTTGGAACCGGCGAGTGGTCACGATTCCTCTTAGTCGTTGCCAGATGACCTCTAGAAAGTGTTCAAGAGCACCAATCAGAGAAACAATCTGGGGTCATGATTCATGGGGACTTCCTTGTGGCATATGGCTGCCATTCATGCAGACACAGTGCCAGTTATTTCTCTATAGCCCTATATCAGGGGCCAGAAACGGTGGGTGTTGTTGTTTAAACGTCGCGTGGACGACGACTATACACAATCCATTGACATGTTGCACATCGACGTGAAGCTGGTTCCCAGGGCCAACTGGTGGTATCATCAGAAGTAACCTGTCTTTAACGGGTTCGAAGACGGGGCGCTTTTAAGCCCGATTTGACCTGATTTACGGCAGTATTTCACGCTGCAGATGCTTGTTTTGTTTCGTACATCGACCACAGGGTTTTGTTGTTACTATGGATCGAAAGCCCCGTGTCTTAGCTTTCACGTCATGTGCGACACGTGCGGGTGTCGTCACGTTTTCCCACCCTTAAAGCCCCCCGAAGCTAAGCACCGTGCGTGTGACGGGAGCCAAAACAGCTCAGATTTCATATCAAAATGGTTTTATCTCTGCATCCCGCTTGCACTAATCGTCTCGCACCCGGAGAAAGAAACATATGCATGCATATCATATATGAAAATGTTGCCACGTGCATAAGGCACCTGGGATCGTCACGGGGTCGACGTGGGGCACCTGGTTGGACGTCCACGTCCATTTGGCCATCTGATATAGACATGTCTTTTTACCAAGAAAAGAGCCTTGCTCTGCGATCATCTTTTACACGTCGCGTGGACGACAAATATACACAATCCATTGACATGTTGCACATCGACGTGAAGCTGGTTCCCAGGGCCAACTGGTGGTATCATCAGAAGTGACCTGTCTTTAACGGGTTCGAAGCCGGGGCGCTTTTAAGCCCGAATTGACCCGATTTACGGCAGTCTTTCACGCTGCAGATGCTTGTTATGTTTCGTACATCGACCACAAGCTTTTATTGTTACTATGGATCGAAATCCCCGTGTCTTAGCTTTCACGTCATGTGCGACACGTGCGGATGTCGTCACGTTTTCCTACCCTTAAAGCCATCCCAAGCTAAGCCCCGTGCGCTCAGATTTGACTGATCTGTGCGTCCCGTTTGCACTGATTGTCTCACACGCGGAACCCTTTTGCCACTGCTGTATATAAACACAATGGGCCGAAACGACAATTATTGAGTTTTGGAATTACGATAAAATGATGATCTACCGGACAGGGCATGGGCGTTTAAACGTACCTACCTACACATACACTTACGAATGGAAAGCCAGAACTGGGCATTGGCTTTGACGTCAAGTGGACGCCATCCTTGCCTAACAGTGCAGGTCCCATCCTCATGTGCTGGCTGTGGTCCCAAAAGGTGGCATCCAGACGGCGTCGCAACATCCTCTTCAAGCGCCGATTCGCCTCCTCCACCTTCCGCTTGTAGGCAGAGACCGTCATGTTCCTTGGTTTTACCCTCGGGAACAGACTTCCTATCACTGCTCTGGAGCCCGGCCGTTTCCACCGAAGGTAGTCCAGAAGATCCAGCAAGTCCTCAACCAGGTTCTGAGGATCAGTTGACGCCGACACGTCGTTCTCTCCCACTTGAAAGAAAACAATGCCCTGGAAACCTGCATCAAGGGCATCCACCACTGCTTTCATCCGAGCGACAGTCGCCCCTCCTATCCCACGCACGGAAGTGATGATGCCACGTGGAGGGGGACAGACTTGATCATGTCGCCGCACTAAGCTATGTCCCAGGATGGCAAAGTGGATGGGCTTTGAAACAGGACCTTTAAAAAGTGTGTAGGCCATGGCTTGAATGAAGTCTTCAACAATGAAATGTGTCAAACAATGTTAGCACAAGTGCCGTGACTGCTAGGTATATATAGCCCGAGCGATTGAAAAGTGTTTGTATTAAGCTCTGCATTGAGGTCACAGAGTCAATCAATCATTCATGGATTAAGGCCGGTTGGTAGCTTAAACCTGACACGACTCACTCATCCCATTCACTTATGCGATTAAACAACCGATCAACGATTGGCGCTTTCAGTCGTAATTCCCGCCACTTGGTTGGCTTCCATGTCTCACTCAGAAACTCTCGGATTAGGCATTACAAGCAAAACATCAGAGCAAAGCCTGTGTGCCCCACCACAACAAGTGCCTCTGCAAACGTGACACCAATCAAGGCTCATTTGAAGACAATGAGGTGAGTAAGAACTCACTATGAAGCTACTTTAGGAATGTAATTGTGTGAAGGTGACCTTTAGTAACAAACAATAAGAATTAAATATCACAAAAAACGTCTCTCCGTTTTCTCTTCACATGGAAATAAAGACAATACCAAGGCTAAACGCAGCAAAGAAAACGTTTTATTCATCCTTCCAGACAACATCAAACCAAGTGCAAACATAGCAAAAATTCAGTTCGCCATCACATCAGTTGGAATTGAAGACAATACCACGGCTAAGCGCAGCAATGAAAACGTTTTATTCATCCTTCCAGACAACATCAAACCAAGTGCAAACATAGCAAAAATTCAGTTCGCCATCACACCAGGTGGAATTGAAGACAAATATCCGGGCTAGTTCGTAGACATTGAAAGCATGTTCCCCTCACCTGGAAACAATACTATCAATGCCTCGGCCGGCCGACAGACTCAATTCATAGAACTTGAGCCAAGTGTAGAAAATCACTTGAGCCAAGGATTATATTTCAGTTTCACATGCCCGACTTTACCTCGATGTTTTTTCCCCTTTAATTTACTGGTATTATTAGTTCTTTGTTGTTATTGTTATTTTACGTTTTAACCCTCTTTGTTTTAAGTTTATGTCATTGCGGTTTGGGTTAGGGATTCAGCTTAAAGAGAAGGCCGTAGGCTTTTAGTTTTAATTTATGTTTTTTTCGGTTTGGGGAGAGAAGGACTTATTGCCCACCTCGATGTTTTTTCCCCTTTAATTTACCGGTATTATTAGTTCTTTGTTTCGTGTTGTTATTGTTATTTTACGTTTTAACCTTCTTTGTTTTAAGATTATGTTATTGCGGTTTGGGTTAGTGATTCAGCTTAAAGAGAAGGCCGTAGGCTTTTAGTTTTAATTTATGTTTTTTTCGGTTTTGGGTTAGCGTTTTAGATTAGAGAGAGAAGGACTTATTGCCTTTTCACGCTAGTTTTATGTTACATCGGTTTGTGGTTAGTGTTAGTTTAGAGCGAGATGGTGTTAACTTGTACTTTTATTTTTGCATTCCCCATTTGTATGACGAACATGATCATGACGAAGCATTTGTGCATCACAGTCATATACCCACATGGATAACCATAGCTCACGAATTCAATACCCTAACAATTGCATAATGGACAGATAATTCAAACATGTCAGCACAAATATATAATACGAAACATTAAACCTGGAAGGATACAACTTTGATTTCAAAGTCCGATTGCTGTGAAGGCGCAGTTGAGTCTACGTAGGAAGGTCGTCGTGGTAGATCAGATCTCTGTGAATTCTTCAGGTACTGTTGATAATGGCAGTGGAGCTGCTACACGTGATGAACAACACATACTACAATTTACATCAACATGCATAACAAACGTCAGAAAACGTCAATGTCCGTCTGGCATGTAATGCCATCGCGTCTACCCATCAATTGGGTGACTCGCATACATAGTTGTAGACACTACAGCAATATACCTCTCCTTTCCCATATGCCACACCTTAGGGAATTGCAAAGATTTGACACGACAAATCATGCACAGTTACCGCCAAGTCGCCTCTGAGCCACTGCCGAGACTCAAACTGGTTTGGGTGCGCCAGCTACCGTTTTCACACCCTCGCTCCTCCTCCAAGGGTCGCCCCTTCACTCCCATGCAACACCATCATTTCGTCCTGCTTCCAGCAGAAACCACCACCGTTTGCGCTTGCTAACTGCCAAGTCGCCTCTGAGCCACTGCCGAGACTCGAACTGGTTTGCCTGCGCCAGCCAACGCTTCGCCACCATCGCCTCTCCTCTAAGGGTCGCCCCTTCACTCCCATGCAACACCAGCATTTCGTCCTGCTTCCAGGAGAAATCCACCACCGTTTGCGCTTGCTTACTGCCAAGTCGCCTCTGAGCCACTGCCGAGACTCGAACTGGTTTGCCTGCGCCAGCCAACGCTTCGCCACCATCGCCTCTCCTCTATGGGGCGACCCTTCACTCCCATGCAACACCATCATTTCGTCCTGCTTCCAGGAGAAATCCACCACCGTTTGCGCTTGCTTAGTGCCAAGTCGCCTCTGAGCCACTGCCGGGACTCGAACTGGTTTGCCTGCGCCAGCCACCGTTTCGCCACCATTGCCTCTCCTCTATGGGTCGCCCCTCAACTCCCATGCAACACCATCATTTCGTCCTGCTTCCAGCAGAAATCCACCACCGTTTGCGCTTGCTTACTGCCAAGTCGCCTCTGAGCCACTGCCGAGACTCGAACTGGTTTGCCTGCGCCAGCCAACGTTTTTGCCACCATCGCCTCTCCTCTAAGGGGCGACCCTTCACTCCCATGCAACACCATCATTTCGTCCTGCTTCCAGGAGAAATCCACCACCGCTTGGCGCTTGCTTACTGCCAAGTCGCCTCTGAGCCACCTGCCGGGACTCGAACTGGTTTGCCTGCGCCAGCCAACTTTTTGCCACCATCGCCTCTCCTCTAAGGGGTCGACCCTTCACTCCCATGCAACACCAGCATTTCGTCCTGCTTCCAGGAGAAATCCACCACCGTTTGCGCT